GACGACAACTGCTGAATCACTGAAGGTTCATTAGAAACGAGTCTGAGAGTCAAAAATCCAGAGGGGCCCAGTCAGTTTTACCTTCAGGAAACCTACCAGGCTTTCACAGTGAAAGTGAAAGAAAAATCCTGTCATGTTTCCACCTGGGAAGGGATGAGGGGTGAGGGGGTAGAAGAAAAAAAACCAATTTAAAATATACCAGAACATTCTGTTCCTTCAAGGGCTGCCCGCCAGAGAAACTAATTTACCAGAGCCTAAACTATTGTGATTTTATCAGAGCCAAAGTGACCTAAAAAAAAGAAAATATACAACTCAGCTCCCTCTAATCATCCTGTTTCACATAAGGGAGAAAATTTTTTAATAAACATTGTGAGCCCTGGCCGGTTTGGCTCAGCGGTTAGAGCGTCGACCTGCGGTCCGGAGAGACCCGGGTTCGGTTCCCACTAAGGGCATGTACCTTGGTTGCAGTTTGTCCCTGGCCCTGGTCGGTTGTGCGGGTGGCAGCCACTCGGTGTGTTCCTTTCACATCGATGTCTCTCTCTCTCTCTCTCTCTGTTCCTCTCTCTCCCTCCCACTCTACCTGAACAAAAAAATGGGAAAATGTCCTCAGGTGAGGATAAAAAAAAAGAAACATTGTGAAGTTCAGAGTTCAAGGACCCAGTTTCACTAAAAGATTATTACCTAATCATAAGACATCTTCCCACCAAACCACTAAATGCCTATTTATCACAGATTCTTTTATTCTGCCTATCAAGAAAAAATTTTCAAGGGATACAAAAACACACTTTGAAGAAACTGAAAAACATCAGAACCAGGGTCAGATATGGCAGGAATTCTGGCATTATCAGATCAGAATTTTTTTAAAACTATGATTTATATGCTAAGGGCTCTAACAGAAAAAGACATGAAAGAAAACAAGGAGTATAAATGTAAGCAGAGAGAAGGAAATACTAAGAAAGAATCGAAAAGAAATGCTAAGGATAAAAAATATTGTAACAGAAAGGTAGAATCCCTTGTATGGACTTATTAGTAAACTTGATATGACAAATGAAAGATTGAGCTTGAAGATATGTCAGTGGAAACTTCCAAAACTGAAAAATGAAAAATAAAGACTGAAAAAGAAAGGTCAGAATATCCAAGAACTGTAGGACAACAACAAAAAGTGTAACATACATGCAACAGGGAATACCAAAAGGAAAAGAGAAAAATGAACAGAAGCCATATATGAAGCAATAATGACTGAAAATTTGCCTCAGATTAATGTCAGACACCAAACCACAAGTCCAGAAAGCTCAGAGACCACCATACATGGTAAATGTCCTAAAAACTACACCTATGTATATCATATTAAAACTAAAGAAGAGCCCTGGCCGGTTTGGCTCAGTGGTTAGAGCGTCGGCCTGCGGTCCTGAGAGACCCGGGTTCGGTTCCCGCTAAGGGCACGTACCTCGGCTGCAGGTTGTCCCCGGCCCTGGTCGGTTGTGCGGGTGGCAGCCACTCGATGTGTCCCTTTCACATCGATGTTTCTCTCTCTCTCTCTGTTCCTCTCTCTCCCTCCCACTCTACCTGAACAAAAAATGGAAAAATGTCCTCGGGTGAGGATAAAAAAAAAAAAAAAAACTAAAGAAGAGACTTCTGGTCGACATGGTGGAGTAGGTAAACACGGTATCGCGTCCTCCCACAACCACATCAAAGGTACAACTAAACTACAGAAGAACCATCATTCAGAACCGCCTGAAATCAAGATGAATGGAAGTACTACAACTACTGAATTAAAGAAGCAGCCACATTGAGACTGGTAGGAGGGCCAGAGGCGGAGGGGCTGGTCCCACACCCATGTGTGGTAGATAAAAATCAGGAGGACACCTAGGCTGGGAAGGTGCTCCCTGAGGACTTAGGGGTCCCCATCCCACACCAGGGGACCTGCTCAGGGTTCCAGTGCCAGGAAGAGAACTCCCCTTAACTTCTGGCTGGAAAAACAAGTGGGAACTGAGGCTCAGGGAGCATGAGGTGGCTGAAGCCCCAGCCAGCTCCTCTTAAAGGGCCCACGCATAAACTTATTGAACATACTCCCTCTAAGTTTGGAGGGGAGACAGCTCAAGGGGCGCCAGAGACATACAGGGAAGAACTAAGCTGTTTGGCACTGGGGCGAGGGCTGGAGAGGGGGGTTTATCCTGGACAGATGTGCTGTCGGAGGCCTTTGTTCCTTTGGTGAGCCCTTCCCTGGGGCGGCAGACAGTCGCCATATCTGGGACTCCAGCAACCTGGATCACACTGGTTGTCCTGCCCTGGACATTCCCTGAGGCCTTGCCCCACCCAACTTTCAGGCCCACCCAAGCTGTTGCCAGTTGCTTAACCATAGGATTGGCCTGCCTTGGATCCTCCTTCAGGTTTTTCAATTCTTTCAAACAAGCAGCATCTGGTCTCAGATAGCCCCATACCTCTTGTTAAGTAATACGCAGAAACAAACACAGAGAGGCAGCTAAAATGAGGAGACAAAGAAACAGGTCCCAAATGAAAGAACAGAACAAAACCCCAGGAAATAACTAAGCAAAATGGAGATAAGCAACCTAACATATGCTGAGTTCAAAATACTGCTTTATAAGGATGCTCAATGAACTTACTGAGAACCTCAGCGAACTTAGTGAGAGCCTCAAGAGCATAAAAAAGGACCAGTCAGAAATGAAGGACACACAGTCAGAAGTAAAGGAGGCACTAACTGAAATAAAGAATAATTGACACAGATTCAATATTAGAGTAGGTAAAGCCAAGAAGCAAACCATTGATTTGGAATATAAGGAAGCAAAAAACACCCAATCAGAACAGCAAAAAGGAAAAAGAATCCAAAAAAAATGAGGATAGTGTAAGAAGCCCCTGAGACAACGACAAGCATGCCAACATTCGCATCTTGGGGGTGCCGGAAGGAGAAGAGAGAGAACGAGAAATTGAAAACCTGTTTGAAACAATAATGGCAGAAAACTTCCCTAACTTGGTGAAGGAAACAGACATACAAGTCCAGGAAGCACAGAGAGTCCCAAACAAGATGAACCCCAAGAGGCGCACACCAACTCACATCATCATCAAAATGCAAAAGGTTCAAGTCAAAGAGAGAATCTTAGAAGCAGCAAGAGAAAAGCAGTTAGTTACGGACAAGGGAGTTCCCATAAGACTGTCAGCTGATTTCTCAAAAGAAACTTTTTAGGCCAGTAGGGAGTGGCAAGAAATATTCAGAGTGATGAAAAGTAAGAACCTACAACCAAGGTTTCTCTATCCTGCAAAGCTGTCATTTAGAATCGATGGTCATATAAAGAGTTTCCCAATCAAGAAAAAGTTAAAGGAGTTCATCACCTCCAAACTGTTATTATATGAAATGATGAAGGGTTTTTTGAAGAAAAAAATAAAATATATGAACAAACTAAATGGCAATGAATACATATCTATCGACAATTGAATCCACAAACAAAACGAACAGGCAGAACAAAAACATTCTCATAGGTACAGAGAACATTTTGTTCGTTGCCAGATGGGAGTTGGGTTGGGGGAATGGGTGAAAAAGGTGAAGGGATTAAGAAGTACAAATTGGTTGCTTGACTGACAAGCCTCAAAGGAAAGGGGGTTGGGGGGTGGGAAAAAATAAACCAGAGAACTTATATGCATAACCAATGGACACAGACAACAGTGTGGGAAAAGGTGGGAGGGGGGCAAGAGTGGGGAGGAGGGGGTCAGTGGGGGAAAAGTGAGAAATATCTGTAATACATTCAACAATAAAGATTGAAAACAACAACAACAACTAAATAACATCAAAGATAAAGAAAAAATTTTGAAAGAATCCAGAGGTGGGGAAAAACCTCTTACCTATGCAGAAACAAAGATAAGACTTAATCTGATTTTTTAAAACCATTCAAAGAAGATAATGGGGTGAAATATTTAGTGTTGAGAAGAGAAGAAAAAACACCAACTTAAAATTCTCTATCTTACAAAATTATCCTTCAGGTATGGAGTTTCTTCAAAAAATTACAAATTAAACTGCCATTTGACCCAGTGATCCCACTTCTAAAAATATATCCTAAGAAGCCTGAAACACCAATGAGAATATTTGCAACCCTATGTTCATAGCAGCACTATTTACAATAGCTAAGATCTGGAAACAGCCCATGCACCCATCAGTAGATGAGTGATTAACAAAGCTGTGGTACATTTACACAATGGAATGCTATGCAGCTATTAAAAAGAAGGATCTCTTAACCTTTGAGATGACATGGAGGGACCTGGAGAGTATTAAGTTTTGTGAAATAAGCCAGTCAGGGAAAGACAAGTATCACATGTTCTCACTTATATGTGGAATCTAATGAACAAAATAAACTAATGAACAAAACAGATCCAGACATGGAAGCAGGGAAAAGACTGACAAATCTCTGAGGGAAAGGGGGTAGGGGGAGCAGGAAGAGACTAACCAAAGAACTTATATGCATATATGTATACCCAACAGACACAGACAATAGTGTGGTGAAGGCCTGGGGTGGGGGCAGGAGCAGGGTGGAGGGCGTCAATGGGGAAAAAGAGGGGGAACATTTCTAATACTCTCAACAATAAAGATACTTTATTTTTTTATGTGTAGGAGAAATAAAGACTTTCTCAGACAAACAAAAATTGAATTTAATAGTGGTAGATCTTCCGCCCTGGCCGGTTTGGCTCAGCGGTTAGAGCATTGGCCTGCGGTCTGGAGAGACCCGGGTTCGGTTCCCGCTAAGGGCGTGTACCTCGGTTGCAGTTTGTCCCCAGCCCTGGTTGGGTCGTGTGGGTGGCAACCACTCAATGTGTCCCTTTCACATCGATGTTTCTCTCTCTCTCTCCCTCCTACTCTATCTGAACAAAATGTCACAAAATGTCCTTGGGTGAGGATAAAAAATAAAAAAATAAAAATAGTGGTAGACCTTCCTTTAACATAAGAAATGTTTTTAAAAAATCCATCAGGCTGCAGCCAGGTGGGAAGGCTCAAGATGGCGTGCCTGTTGGAGACCCAATCCGCATGAGCGTCCTTTCGGAAGTAACAGCTAGCAGTCGCCACTATGTTGACAGGCTATTTGACCCTGATCCCCAGAAAGCTCTACAAGGTGTCATAGACATGAAAAATGCTGTAATTGGAAATAACAAGCAGAAGGCCAACCTCATTGTTTTAGGAGCTGTTCCAAGATTGTTGTACTTGCTTCAGCAAGAAATTTCAAGTACAGAGCTGAAAACTGAATGTGCAGTGGTACTGGGAAGTCTTGCTATGGGTACCGAAAACAATGTCAAGTCTCTACTAGATTGCCATATTATCCCTGCCTTACTGCAAGGACTATTGTCCCCAGACCTGAAGTTTATTGAAGCTTGCCTTCGATGCCTGCGTACCATCTTCACCAGTCCCGTCACTCCAGAGGAGTTATTGTACACAGATGCTACGGTGATACCACACATCATGGCCCTGCTTAGCAGGTCTCACTACACCCAGGAGTACATCTGCCAGATCTTCTCGCACTGCTGTAAAGGTCCAGATCATCAAACAATTTTATTTAACCATGGTGCAGTTCAGAATATTGCTCACCTACTAACCTCAGTATCTTACAAAGTTCGAATGCAAGCACTGAAATGCTTCTCAGTTTTAGCTTTTGAAAACCCCCAGGTATCGATGACCCTGGTAAATGTTTTGGTTGATGGAGAATTGTTACCACAAATTTTTGTGAAGATGTTACAGAGGGATAAGCCTATTGAGATGCAACTCACATCAGCAAAATGTTTAACCTACATGTGTAGAGCGGGAGCAATTCGGACAGATGACAACTGTATTGTATTGAAGACATTGCCATGTTTGGTTCGAATGTGCAGTAAGGAGAGATTACTAGAGGAGAGAGTTGAAGGAGCTGAGACACTCGCCTACCTGATTGAACCAGATGTTGAGCTGCAGAGAATTGCTAGCATTACTGATCACCTCATTGCCATGCTTGCTGATTATTTCAAGTATCCCAGCTCTGTGAGTGCCATCACTGATATTAAAAGGCTTGATCATGACTTAAAACATGCTCAGGAACTCCGCCAGGCTGCATTCAAGCTCTATGCCTCACTCAGAGCAAACGATGAAGACATCCGGAAGAAGGTGAGTCTGGGAGAGGGGCGGCCCCCAGTCCTGACAGCCAGCAGGCAGGGAGTGACGTCAACCTGAAAGTCGTGGTGAAGAGCACTAACAGTGACTGTTTGAATATAATAAAGCAGTGACTAAAGGCATAATTGAAGGATGAATGGGACCCAGATTTGGGGGGTTGTTTGTTTTTAGAACATAGAGTGGCATGTCCGTGCTGGAATGACAAATAACTGGTGTGCTTTTTTGTGTCATTAATATGGATTATTGTGTTGCACATTTTGCATGTGTTTTGATAAAAATCAATTCTAGCACTGTGAAGCTTCAGACACCTTGAAAGACCTAACACTAGAATTGTAAATGTTATTTATGAAAATACTTTCCAATGCCATTGAGAAATTTAAATTTATTGTATATTGTTCTTTGATATGTGGCTTAGTTGTGTTTTGATTTTTTTGCTACTGTGCAAGTTTGATGTGAATAAAATTTTTGTGGAATGATGAAAAATAAATAAATAAATTTTAAAAAAGCCATCAGAAAAAAGAAAAATGATATAGGCCAAAAATTCAGATCCACAGAGAGAAACGAGGAGCATTAGAGAAGGAATAAGTGAAGGTAAAATATTTCTCATGCTGCCCTGGCCAGGTGGCTCAGTTGGTTGGGGCATTGTCCCATATACCAAAAAGATTGTGAGTTAGATTTCTGGTCAGGGCACATACCTAGGTTGCAGGTTCAATCCTCTTGGGCATGTACAGCAGACAACCAATCAATGTTTCTCTCTCTTTCTCAGATCAATACAAAATATGTATCCTTCTGTGAGGAATAACAAAACCACACACACACACATCCTGTGCTATTTTGTCTCCCAAGCTTTGGGAACTATTGGTCCAAACCAGGTCAGGCAAATGGAGTGAGTACTAGAACCTTCTAAATGACTCCAAAATTGGAGACTTCACAATTTTGTTCATAATTCTGTACAATGATTAGCAAAGTGACCATATATCCCAGTAAAATCCCAGTCCAACTTTCCACTGTTGTCCCAGCACAGTCATTGATCACAGTCCCTTTCACACTCCAGTGTGTCCTGATTTGGGACAATCCACTATACAGGCAGCAGGTGGATCGCTCACCTGCTCATCACTATCTGAGCACCTGCTCTGGACCTGGCTCTGTGAGAATGAAGGAAACACAAAGGTGAGTGAGGTCGTTCCCAGCCCCCAAGAACTCAGGAATGGAACATCAGGGCAAGGAGGGGAAGGGAACCACTGGACAATACAAAGTGATCAGGGTCACACATAGATTTCCTCTGCCTTCTGCTGTGGGGATCACTGGGAAGGAGGACAGATGAATCAAAGGAGGTTCCTCAGGGAAAAGGGCAGGAAGAGCAGCTGACCAGTGATGTAAGAACAACCAGTCAGCTCCACAGAGAGAAGTAGGTGGTTTCCCCACTTTTTTTTTATCCTCACCTGAGGACATTTTTGCATTTATCTTCAGAAAGAGCAGGAGGGAGAGAGGGAGGAAGAGAGAGAGAGAAACACTGATGTGAGAGAGACACATCGAGTGGTTGCCACCCACATGACCCCAACCGAAGCCAGGGACAAACTGCAACTGAGGCAGGTGCCCTTAGCGGGAACCGAACCAGGGACTCTCTGGTCTGCAGGCTGACACTCTAACTGCTGACCAAACTGGCCAGGGTGGGTCATTCCCTTTTATAACAATGTTTTAATTTGTGTTTCTACATGTTCAGGGAACTGGTGTGGTAAAAATTAATATGGGGGGAAAGCATGCGGTTTCTGATTCTTCTTGAGTAGTTATGAGCAAACCTGCCCTGCCTGGTGCGTCTTGTAATCTGTAGACATAGACGAAATGTTTGCATAGAAAAGATATTCTCCAAAATTAATTAGTTTTAAAACATATATTGGATCATATTACTTCCTTGCTTAAAACCCTTCACGGGGTGATCACTGTGCTCAGAATAAAACCCACACCCCTTCCCATGGCCCACGAGCCCTGCCCTTCGTCTGCACCTGAACTCCTGCTGTTCTCACTCCAGCTCATTACACTTTGGCCACCTGGAAAATGCCAAGTTCCTTCCCACCTGAGCCCCTTGCTTGAGTTTTGCTGTCCCCTCTGCTGGACACTGTCCCTCCAGTGCTTTAAACGTCTGACTTGTAGGGAGGGAAAGCCCACCTGAGAATGACACCAGCACCCAGGGCAGAGAGCAAAGCCAAGAGGTCAGGAGAGGTCATTCCTGCTGAGGTCACAGAGCACCCAGGCGATCAGCTGCATGAGGATGAGCTCTGCCTGCCTCACCCACCAGGCCGGGTGCTGGCCTTTCCCTGCAGAACCACATCGTTACTGTCGGAGTTCCCGTCATCAAGGCCCAATACTGCACACTGCACGCTTCTCACACTACAGGATGCACAGCCCCAATTCTGTGCAGAGGATGAAAACCAGAGTAGCCAACACATCTTCTGGAGCATCAAGTGTATTACAGAATTGGAGAGAACCAAATACTTTAATGAGAACACCCCACAAACATGGGAGCAGAGTACAGCAGGGGAGAAAGAAGGGCTCCAGGAAAAACAGTCCAGAGTCTGAAGTTTCATTCAGGGTGGGAAGAGGGGTGGTCCCACAGCGAAGGCAGCCTCTCCTCTCGACCCCCAGGGCTCCAGGCCATCTCCAAGCACAGCAGGTATTTTGGATAAGATGCTTCTGAAGGCCACGGAGATACTGGATACCCTCCTGATGGGAACCCCGGTGCAGAGAACGCCTCGGCAGTCTGTACAACCCATCGTCCGCTGCACCAAGTCCTCTCACCTTACACAGCGTGTATTCCCGGAACCGCTCTCATCGCAGCTGTTTGTGTCCAGCATCTGGTTCATCACCTGCACCACGTGGCCGGCCTCCTAGGAGCTCAGTACCTTCAGCTTCAACATTCTGGGGGTGCTGCTTGATCTTCACAGAATCTTCGACTATGGTCTGTGGTGGCCAGCGACACTTTTTAAAAATTGTATCAGTGCCGGGCTGGTGGGGATCAGTGGCTGAACATCAACCCATGCACCCAGAGATCACTGGTTCCATTCCCGGTCAGGACACATGCCCAAGTTGTGGGCCAGATCCCCAATGGTGGGCATGCAAGAGGTGGTCAATTGATGATCTCTCGTATCGAAGTTTCCATCTCTCTTTCCCTCTTCCTTCCTCTCTTTCTAAAGCAATAAAAAGGGGAAACAATAATTTAGAAATTAAAAAAAATTCCAGCCAGTGTGGTCAGTGATTGAACATCAACCCATGCACCAAGAGTTCAAAGGTTCGATTCCCAGTCAGGACACATGCACAGGTTGTGGGCCTGATCCCAGTGGGGGGCGTGCAGGAGGAGACCAATCGATGTTCTCTCTCATCGAAGTTTCTATTTCTCTCTCCCTCCCACATCCTCTCTCTCTAAAATCAATAAAGAAAACAATAAAAATTTCTAAATAGATAAAAATTATATCAGTTTCATTCTTGTCTTCTTGAACCACCATTTGTGACTAGATGGCACACAGCACCTAAGTCCTAACAAAATCCTAAAGGCCCTCCTAGCTTTAGTCTGTTGGCCCTGGATGTGGCCAGTGAAAGAGGCTGAGGACTCACCATCAGAATGAGCAGCTTGAAGGTTTTCATTGGCGGTTTCCCAGGGGGTTCCACCAACCCTGCTGGTGCTGCTGATGTGGGTGATGGGGAAATTTCCAGAGTCACACAGGAGGGGTGAATTGGAGATGGCGGTCCCTGACTTTAGGCCAGGTATGGGAGTGGTGCTCCTTGCTTCCCCCCTTGCTGGGATGGTGGTGCGCCTAGCTTCTTCGCTGGCTGGGGTGGTGGTTCTCCTTGCTTCTTTTCTGGCTGGAATGGTGGTGTTCGTCGCATCTTCCCTGACTGAGATGGGGTGCTCCTTGCTCTTTCCCTGGCTGGGATGGGGTGCTCCTTGCTTCTTCCCTGGCTAGGATGGGGTGCTCCTTGCTTCTTCCCTGGCTGGGATGGGGTGCGCCTTGCTTCTTCCCTGGCTGGGACGGGGTGCTCCTTGCTTCTTCCCTGGCTGAGATGGGGTGCTCCTTGCTTCTTCCCTGGCTGGGATGGGGTGCGCCTTGCTTCTTCCCTGGCTGGGATGGGGTGCTCCTTGCTTCTTCCCTGGCTGGGATGGGGTGCGCCTTGCTTCTTCCCTGGCTGGGATGGGGTGCTCCTTGCTCTTTCCCTGGCTGGGATGGGGTGCTCCTTGCTTCTTCCCTGGCTGGGATGGGGAGCTCCTGGCTTCTTCCCTGGCTGGGATGGGGTGCTCCTTGCTTCTTCCCTGGCTGGGATGGGGTGCTCCTTGCTTCTTCCTTGGCAGGGATAGGGTGCGCCTTGCTTCTTCCCTGGCTGGGATGGGGTGCTCCTTGCTTCTTCCCTGGCTGAGATGGGGTGCTCCTTGCTTCTTCCCTGGCTGGGATGGGGTGCTCCTTGCTTCTTCCCTGGCAGGGATAGGGTGCTCCTTGCTTCCTCTGTGGCTGAATGGTGGTGGCTTTTTGCTTCTCACCTGGGTAGATTGGTGGTGGTCTTCCCTTCTTTCCTGGCTGTGATTGTAGTGTTCGTCATTTCTTTCATGGCTGGGATGGGGTGCTCCTTGCTTCTTTCTTAGATGAGATGGTGATGCTCCTTGCTTCTTCCCTGGCTGGGATGGGGTGCGTCTTGCTTCTTTCCTGGCTGGGATGATGGTGGTCTTTGCTTCTTCTCTAGTTCAAGTGTGGGGGGTGGTCTTCACTTCTTGCCTGTCTTAGATGGTGGTGGTCTTCACTCCTGGCTGGACACATGCCCAGGTTGTGGGCTTGATCCTAGTGGGAGGAATGCAGGGGCAACCAATTGATGTTCGCTCTTATCGATGTTTCTATCTCTCTTTGCCCCTCACTTCCTCTCTAAAATCGGTAAAAAAAAAAAAAATTGTAAATAAATAAATAAATAAAAATTATATCGGTTTCACTCTTGTCTTTTTTAACCATCTTTTCTGACCAAATGGCACACAGCACACAAGTCCTAAAAGAACCCTAAATGCCCTCTTAGCCTTACTCTGTTGGCCCTGGATGTGGCCAGGGAAAGAGGCTAAGGACTCGACATCAGAATGAGCAGTTTGAGGGTTATTTTCATTGGTGGTTTCCTCGGGGGCTCCACCAACCCTGCTGGTGCTGCTGATGTACATGATGCGGGAGTTCCCAGGGTCACCCCGGAGGGCTGTACTGGAGGTGGTGGTCCCTGACTTTGGGCCAGGTATTGGAGTGGTGCTCCTTGTTTCTTCCGTGGCTGGGATGGTGGTGGTCTTCTCTTCTTCTCTGTGTAGAATGGTGGTGGTCTCCTCTTCTTCTCTGGATAGGATGGTGGTAGTCTTCTCATCTTCCCTGGGTAGGATGGTGGTGGTCTTCTCATCTTCCCTGGGTAGGATGGTGGTGGTCTTCTCATCTTCCCTGGGTAGGATGGTGGTGGTCTTCTCATCTTCCCTGGGTAGGATGGTGGTGGTCTTCTCATCTTCCCTGGGTAGGATGGTGGTGGTCTTCTCATCTTCCCTGGGTAGGATGGTGGTGGTCTTCTCATCTTCCCTGGGTAGGATGGTGGTGGTCTTCTCATCTTCTCTGGGTAGGATGGTGGTGGTCTTCTCATCTTCTCTGGGTAGGATGGTGGTGGTCTTCTCATCTTCTCTGGGTAGGATGGTGGTGGTCTTCTCATCTTCTCTGGGTAGGATGGTGGTGGTCTTCTCATCTTCTCTGGGTAGGATGGTGGTGGTGGTTGGTTCTTCGCGGGTTCGCGGGGTGGTGGTTTTCACTTCTTCCCTGGTTGGGGGTGTGGTGGTTTTCACTTCTTCCCTGACTGGGGTGGTGGTGGTTTTCACGTCTTCCCTGGTTGGGGACGTGGTGGTTTTTGGTTTCAGAATGTTCTTCCCCCCTTTCATGCTGGCTGAGGAGGTGGGCAGCCTTGATTCGAAGCTGGGTGGTAAAGTGGCCGGGTCTCCGCCCTTTTGCCCTTCTGCCTGAACCCCTTGGAATGCAGAAGGATTGATGTTAGGGTCAGGGGAGGAACAGGGCCTTACCTTAATGGTGGATATCTTCATTTGAGGTGTTGTCATAGATAAAATTAGATAGGTCCCCATAAGACTATCATATTTTTTTGAAGTTACCGATTCTCGTATCTCATGTTCCTCCCAGCCCATATTTATCATGATGCTTACTATCTGAGCATTCAGGTCCCCCTGGGGTGGCTCAACATATGGCCTGAGGGCCTCTGACTGGCCAAAGTTGAGCCAGCGGTCTTTCATTACATTCTCTAGAGTTGGTCTCTTGCTGGGGTTGAAGGTCAATAATTTCTTCAAAAGGTCTCTACATCCGTGGGAGAGATACATTGGTAAATGGAACTGTCCTCTCAATATACTATTCTCTTCCTCCTTGGTGTTCTTCCCCTTGAATGGTAGGTGTTTTGTTAGCATCTTGTAGAGGACTATTCCGACACTCCATACATCGGCCTTTTCATCATAAGGTTCACACTTCAATACCTCAGGCGCCATGTATGGGATAGTCCCACAGCAGTCTGTTAGCTTCTCATCTTTAAGTACTGCACTCAAGCCAAAATCTGCTAACCGCACATTGTTATCCCCATCTAGCAGTATATTTTCAGGCTTAACATCTCTATGGATTATGCCGCGTTTGTGACAGTGTTGTAACGCAGATATTAATTGGCGCAAGGTAGTTCGGGCTTCCTCCTCTGCCATGCGGCTTCTATTCTTCAGATAATCAAATAAATCGCCGCCGCTGATATACTCTTGGAAGAGATATACATTGTCTTCAGTGGTAACCACTTCAAACAACTGGGCGATGTTGGGGTGTTTTAGTACCTGGAGAGCATGGACTTCATCAGAAGGATCAGAGAGGCCCTGTTGACGCAGAACCTTCACTGCCACTTCTTTGCCCGTTACAGTGTGCCGCGCCAGCCACACTGAGGCAAAGGCTCCCCAGCCGATGGTTTTTAGGAGGATATAATTCCCTACGTGCAGCTCCTTGATGTCAGAGAGGGCTGCACGGGTATACATGGTGGCTCAAAAGCAAAAGAGAGAGAGAGAAAAGAAAAACAAAACAAAACAAAACAAAAATAAGAAACAAGAAAATTAAAAACAAAGAACAAAATAAAATAAAATAGTCAAACAAAAAAGAGAAAAAAAGAAAAAATTAAGAAAATTAAAAACAAACAAAAAAATAAATTAAAATAATAAATTAAAATAATAAACTAAAGAAAAATAAGAAAAAGAATCAAAATAAAAAACAAAAACAGAAAAACAAAGAACAAAAACGAAAATGACAGCGAACAAGCCAACAACTAGTCCTAGTACCACAGTTCACTACAATCAGCTTCCTGGGCTCTGACGGACGAGAACCTCAGTCCAGCCAGGGCCTTATATGGGACTGGCTGTCCTTTCATCACAATGGTGCCTGTGACATACTGTGAGGCTGGGCACAAACCACAGCAGTTTTCTCACTTTTTGGTCTCATGACTCTTACTATGGGAAAAAAATAAAAAAAAACCAAAGAGCTTTTTGTTTATGTGGCACATTAAAGATTGATATTTACTTGATCAGAAGTGAAAATCTGTAAGATGCAAATAAAATAAAATAAAATAAAAATGAAGAGTCTCATGCCCCAGGTCGGAATTCAAATATCACCTGTTTAGTGAGGGCTCCCCTGATCCATCCATCCTTCCCACCTCACCCAGCTCGTCACCTTTGTCATCTTCATAGCAATGACTACAGTGTATCAGATTCTTTTTTAATCCTCACCTGATGATGTTATTTATTTTATTTTATTTCTTTTGGAGTAAGAGAGGAAGGGAAAGGGGGTAGAGAGAGAGAGACAGAGAAACATAAATGTGAGATAGAAACTCTGATCAGTACCTGCTGTGGTCAGAGGAAGAGGTTTGGGACCCACCATCAGGATGAGCAGCTTGAAGGCAGTTTTCATTGGTGGTTTCCTCGGGGGCTCCACCAACCCTGCTGGTGCTGGTGCTGTGGGTGATGGTTGAGCCCCCCGGGTCACACAGGAGGGCTGAACCGGGGGTAGCGGTCCATGTCTTTTAGCCAAGTACTGAAGTGGTGGTCCTTGCTTCCACCCTGGCTGGGGGAGTGGTCATTCTTACCTCTGGGCTGCCTGGGGGAGTGATGGTCTTTTCTTCCTGGCCGGCTGGGGTACTGGTCATACTGGCTTCCAGGATGGCTGGTGGAATGTTCTTCCTCAGTTCCAGGTAGGCTGAAGGAGTGGGCACCCTGACTCCAGGCTGACTGGGAAAATGGCTGGGTCCCTGCCCTGATGCCTCAACCCCTTGGGTTCAGGAAGGCTGATGTTGGGGTCAAGGGAGGGGCAGGGCCTAACCCTAATGGTGCAGTCCTTCATCTTGGGTGGTGGTGTAGGTAACATTAGATAGGTTCCCATAATATTATCATATTTTTTTCTAGTTACAGATTCATGTATCTTAATGCTTCTTAAATCCCACATTCCTCATTATTTTTATGACCTGGTGGTTCGCCCCCCGCCCCCCCCCCCCCCGGAGTGGCTCACTGTACAACCTCAGTGTCTCTGCCTGGCCCATGTTGAGCCAGCGGTCCTTCAGTATATCTTCCAGGGTTGGTGTGGCTGGGGTTGAGGGTCAATAATGTTTTTAAGTTCTTGACATTCTGTTCGGCAGCTAATATCTGCCTTGCAATTTTGTCATCAGTGCGTGACGGGGGAGCCACCGGGGTCATAGGAACCTTAAGCCCGCAAACATGCTCGTAGGCAGGAGAACAACATAAAATTAGCAGACTTTGGGTTTAGTGCACAGAGTACAGAGGAAAAACTGAGCACCTCTGTGGTATCTTTTTCTATATGGCTCCAGAGATCTCATAGCATGACCTTATGAGGGTCCGAAGGTGGATATTTGGGGTACTAGTCATACTGGCTTCCAGGATGGCTGGTGGGATGTTCCTCCTCAGTTCCAGGCAGGCTAAAGGAGTGGACACCCTGACTACAGGCTGGCTGGGGAAATGGCCAGGACACTTCAGGGAACTGTCCACTCAATATATTCTTCTCTTCTTCCAAGTTCTGCTCCTCGAATGGCAGTTTTCTGGTCACCATCTCGTGGGGGGAAAGATCCAGTGAACATTTCATACTCTCACCTGGAAAACCCCTGTAAGGGGAAAGTAAGAATAAACCAGAGGTAAGTCTTAAGAAAAATGCAACCCAGCCTTAATTAAGTTGATTCGGGCTTTGATTTGAATTAACGTGATCAATGCTGCCTCTGCCTATTACAGGAGAGGAAATGATAAAGTCTTTGTCTAGGAGGTCATCACCATCCTGAGTGTATAAAATTTGTCATACACAGTGTCCATGTACAAATTCTAGGCTGCTGCGGGGTAATTTCTGCAAAGTAACTGTGCCTTTCTCCTAACTGATGTTCTGTTTTCACTCTGTGGGGGTTGAATGCAGATGCCTGCAGGAGCATGAGCTTGATTAAGTCATCACAGTTTCTGCCTGTGTGCGTGGCTGTGCTGTTCCTGCCTGGGCTGATGCTTCCCACCCACTGGGCAGAAGGGCTAAAGGAAGGAAGGTCTCAATCTGTGAACCAAAAAACAAAGGAGAGAGAGTGTGTGTGTGTGCATGATAGCCCCGCTACCCAACCCAATAACCAAACAAGGAAAAGAGTAATCCTGCATTTTTAAACTAGAGCAAGTTCTTTTATATTCCACAGGGCCTGAGCAAGCTGTTGCAAAATTCAAAGGCTGATCCCTAGGGTCAATATAATGGGTCTCAAGACAGCTGGACACTGTCCTCATCCAAAAAGTGTGAAAGTGTGAGGTGGGACAAAGGGAGGGAGGTGTGTGTGTGTGTGTGTGTGTGTGTGTGTGTGTGTGTATTGGGGAGGTAGGGACAGAAGAGATGGCCATTGCTGAGAATCCATGTCCTTTGGGGACAGGTTGCTTGCATCTGCGATGTGATGAGGCAGATGTCCCGAGGAGCGGAGTCTACAGCGCCCTCCCGGGGAGCACCAGAGCCAGTACACTGACTCCCAGACATTCCAGGGGAAAGGTCTCTCCTGCCTCTGAAGTGAGCCTCTCTGAGTAGTTCATCTCACTATCAAGACATTGTTCTTTTATCTCCTATTCTGGTCCCACAAAAGGATGATCTTCACTGGATCACAATTCTATTCAAGTCACCAAAAAACACTCAGTACCTGCTCTATGTCTGTGTCAGACACTGAGGACTGCGGTGAATATCATGGTAGTTCTGATTTCAAGAACTCACAAAACAATAGCTTCCCACATGTTAGCCATATGCCGAGCTCTGTCCCAAGCCCTTCACATTGAATCCTCACGGTGGCCATCTGTAGTGGATGCGTTACTATTACACCTCTTGTACCAATAAGAAAGTTGAGTCCCAGAAAGATCATTTAACTTGCTAGCTAGTCAGTTGTAGAGCCAGGATTTGAATCCTGGCAGTCTGACTCTTGAGTTGATGCTTGAACTATTATGGTTTGCTGCACTAGACTATGGGGGTGGGGGTCTGCCCAAACCAAATACAATGTGTTAGGTGCTGTGGTGTTGAGCACACAGGCTGAGAGCAGTGAATGACATGTGGGAAGATGAGGCAACCAGACACTACTTCCCAGAGGAGGTGAGGTCTAAGCTGAGACCTAATGTACGATTGCTTGTTAGCCAAGCTGGGTGGGGTGTGGGTCCCAGGCAGAGGAAAGAGCAAATGCAAAAGTCTCTGGCGAGAGAGAGCACGGTTTATTCATATTAAAAGAAGAGAAGGTGCTGAGTGTGGATGAGTCATAGATCTCACAACAGGAAATATTTAGCTGTGAGGTTGCAGAGGTTTATTCATTCACTCAACAAACATTTGTTTAGCATCCACTATTGTCAGGCATGGAGGTAAGACAACATTAATTTCTACAAATAAGGTGATGGCTTATGGGGCTTGTAGTCCACAGAGTGAAATGATGCTTCCTCGTCTCACCAATTAAGAAAGAACTGAAAGTAGGCACAAAGGTGAGTAGCAGGATTTTTCACTGTCAGCTGGGAGACTGTTACCAGATTCACACAGAGATATTTCTCTAGAGTAATGTGCGCATGTGTGATTCTGCTATTTACTATCAGTTGTGAAATCAGACTCTTGTGAAGTTAACTGCACCACATGTAGGTATCTATTTAGTAGAAAAGAGACATTCAAAGGCTATAGTTTTAATGGCCACTAGGATGTTAACAGATTTGATCTCTATCTCTGTGTGTTAGTTTTCTATTGTTGCCTCAGCAAATTATTACAAATTTGGTGGCTTAAGACAATGCAAATGTATTATTTTACAGTTCTGGAGGTCAGAAGCTCAGTACAGGTCTCACCAGACTAAACCTACTTGTAGTCAGAATGTCTTCCTTTCTGGACCCGACAGGGGAGAGTCCTTTTTTGCTCATTCCGGTTGCTGGAAGAATTCAGTCCCTCCCGGGTGCAGGACAGTGGCCCCGGAGTTCTTGCAGACTGTAGTCCGAGGCCAAGCTCAGCTTGTAGAGGACACTGTGTTACTGGGTTCAAGGCCAGTAGCAGCAGGTTCCTCTCACATGGCATCATTCGGGCCTACCCTTCTGCCTTCCTCTTCCATTTTCAAAGTCTCATGTGATTACACTGAGCCACTCAGATAATCCAAATTCTCCTCATCTCCAGATCCTTAACCTAAATTGTACCTTCAAAATCCTTTCAGCCTTGTATTTTTCTTTGCATTTATCTTCAGATAGAGCAGAAGGGTGATAGGGAGGAAGGGAGAGAGAGAGAGAAACATCGATGTGAGAGAGACACATCGACTGGTTGCTACCCACACAACCCCAACAGGGGCCGGGGACAAACTGCAACCGAGGTATGTGCCTTCAGCGGGAACCAAACTCAGGTCTCTCTGGTCCAAAGGCCAACGTTTTGACCACTGAGCCAAACAGGCCAGGGCTCAGCCTTGTTTTATTTTATTCTTCTTTATTGATTTTAGAGAGAGAAAAAAATTGATGAGAGAGAACAACTGACC